CCCACATTCTGAGAAAATCCAATAATCTAGGTGCTTTAGAATTCACTCACTTTTACTAGGCCACCTAAAAATAGAGGGACAATGATGAAGAATTCTAGTTGAAGGTTCTGATCCCTAGGGAAGAAGGTATCCTCTAAGTCTCAAATCTCATTCTATCTGAAAATAAGAGTCCTTACTTTGAGTATGACGCATGTGAACACAATTGTGTTTTTATGTAACTATTTATGCAATGGGTATACATGTGTTTACGAGCTTCCCCAAACCAGGCATGATAACTCACACTTTTTTGCTTCTGCTATTGCTCCAAGCACAGGGAAAGATCACAATGCATAAACAATATTTGACAGTGATTAAGACATGGCCACTGAAGTTGGCCATGGACCAAGCTGTGGATCTGTCACTTACTACCTTGAGCAACATATTACTTAAGGCTCAATTTCCTCAACTGTAAAACGAGCATAATGATATGACACACCACATAGAGATGCTGAACAATTAAATGAGAATATATGTAATAAATTTAGCAAAATTCCTAGAAAATAGTAAGCCTTCAATAAATATTTTCTACTATCATCATTGTGATGGGTGCTTTAGAGTGATAGTTAAATAGCATTTAAGACAAAGTCTCTTCTTTTTTTTTTTTTTTTTGTGGTACGCAGGCCTCTCACTGTTGTGGCCTCTCTCGTTGCAGAGCACAGGCTCTGGATGCGCAGGCTCAGCGGCCATGGCTCACGGGCCCAGCCACTCCATGGCATGTGGGATCTTCCCAGACCAGGGCACGAACCCGCGTCCCCTGCATCGGCAGGTGGACTCTCAACCACTGCGCCACGAGGGAAGCCCCAAAGTCTCTTCTTGTTATGGTAAAAGAGCTTGTACCTATCCATCAGTTTAATTAGAAAAAAACAAAACAGAAAGGGAACATTTATTAAGCACTTTATGTAAGCCAGACTCTGAGCTAGACCCTTTACGTTATTTATTTTATCTAATCCTCACAACAACCCTGTGAAGTAATACCATATCTGTTTTACAGATGACGTGACTGAGGCTCAGAGAGACAAATATCCTCAAGATAACCCAACTTGTAAGTAGCACAGTCTGGATTTGGCCAAAAATCTGCCCAGCTCCCAAGCCTACTGGTCCTTGTTGCTTCCTGAGTAGAACTTGAATCCAACATCCTTGGGAAGTTCAACTATTACAGGGATTCCTGGGAACTGGTAGAAAACAGAGATGATACAGTGATGTGCTCCTTAGCAAAGGGAAAATATCCAGGATTGCCACTGCAAACCAAGAACACAGAACAGAGACACAAGCACTGAGGGAAAGTATGAAAAGACAGAAGTAGATGAAACAGGAACTGACAGAATTTAGAAAAGAAGTGGAAGAAAAAAATTATAGCATCACAAGAATGAAGTTCACATTGAATGTACGTTAAGGAGATGAGTCCCTGATGCAAATACAGTAAAATAAATGGAGGATGTGGTAAGAAAAGTGAGTAAAACAAAATGGAAATAAGCAAATGGTTAAAAAAAAAAAAGTTTAGAAAAGATGATGAATATGGAAGAGATTAAGGGAGAAGAAGAGAACCTGAAGAAGAGAACCCAAATAATGAAACAGTAAAATATTTCAAGATACAATTGAAAGTGACTTCTGCTCAGGTGGCAGCCCCCCAAGACAAGGCAGTCCTTGCAAGGAGGTCTGCCATTCTCTAGAGAGTTATATCAAACACAACTCTTCAAATCTAGCCCCATCAGCCAATCCTAGGAGTGCAACGTTTTGAATAATAAAATTGATTCTTTGGATATAAAAGCTATATATTTTCCCCAAAGAAAGGAAATATTTAAATTTACAAATTGAAAGGTACATCTTGTCCCTAGGAAAAAAATATCACAGCACAATTGTTCGACTACAAAGATAAGAAAAAAAAAAGAATCATTTTAGTATCATGAAAAAAACTATCAAGTCACTTACAGAAGGTGAAAACAAAAAATCAGTGCTAGAAAACAGTAAAGCAAGGCCAACAAAGTCCTCAAGAACAAGGTGTGACCTAAGAATTTTATTATCCACCAATAGAAATGTAAAAACAATGGGTAAACTTTCTGAAAATGTAAGAGGTCAGTAGCTACAGCTTTTCATTTGTGGAAGCTACAAGAAACAAATATTACCCAACCAAAAGAACAGAAAGTCCTCATTAAAGAATAGCTGGTTATTTGTGTATTTGATCCAATTAACTGAAGGAGAACAACTAGAAAAAATGTGGGTACTTATTTACACAATAGAAGGTATATATGATTAATAACATTTTTAAGGTGAAGAAGAAAATATGTGTGATGACTTAACACTGAGTTTTGCTCTTTTTATCCAGAGTTAAAGACCCCAACCAAGAGTCCAAGGGATGGACCCTGGAAGCCAGGACCTGAGGGGAGAGTTGTAGGTAGCCCTTTCCCAGCAGGCTTCGGCCAAGACAAGAGAACTGTGGTTGGAGGGGCCTTATCAGTATTTGGATAATTGCTGTCTTAGGTTAGTTCCTGAGAAGCAGACCCTGAAATGAGGGTTCCTGTGCAAGTTAGTGATTTCTTAAGGAAGTGTACTCAGAAAATCTGGTAAGAGGTTAGGGGAAACATAACAGGGAGGGAGAAGCCAAGGGAGGATGAGATTTCCAGCACAGTCCTAGCTTCAGGCTGACCCCACAGGGAGCTCTAGAATATAAATTATATCTCGGAGTTTGTCCATTTTGCAGCAAGGGGGCTAGACTTTCATTATCCCATTCCATTCAGGCGTTGGCTCTCTGGCAAAGGGGAACGATATAAAGCCCCAGATTTCCAGGCACACCCAGATCTCTACACCCATGGGTGAAGAGGCTTCAGCAGCCCAAGGGTGTTTCTCGAAGGAAAGCTGCAGGTGCAATCCACCCAGCCCACCAACCCTGGAAGAGTCAGATAGCAGGGTGAGTGCAGAAGAGCAGCAGAAGAGCAGGGCTGGGAGCTGGTGGGGAGGCAGGCTGAGCCTCTGGGCACATGCGAGCCCCAGCCAGGCCCCAGCCAGAGAAGGGGAGATGTTTTTATTGCCAAGAGAGACTGATGTTTTGATTCTATATAAGTCCAGACTTTTTAATGAAAGTGAGGCATCTGTTAATACCAGAAAGTGAATAGAAAAACTAAGGGATTTACCAGAGAATTCATCCATGGGCAGGCAAGAAAACAAGAGTAAATTTCAAGAGTCCTGGAATGAGCAGAAATAAAGTTACTTTCTGTTTATACCCTATAAACTCCAACTCATTCAACAAACTGCTTACAAATATGTGCTACCCACCCCATAAATACGCTTACATTCACACAGATTATCTCAGGAAAGACATGCAACAAAACAGTAACAGCAGTTGCCCCTGGGGAAGGGAACCAGGTGGCTTTGAGGCAGGAGAGAAGACTTAATTTACGCCTTTAAATTCTGACTATAAACATGCATCTTTAAGAAATAAAATCGTTTAAAGTCTTTTAACTAGTAAGGAAAATAAAGCGAATAGAAAATCAAATAGGAAGGTAAGTTGGAGCCAGGCAAGAGTTAGTTTGGAAAACATATAATATAAATCTTATCGACTTGCTATGGAAGAGAAAACAAATCAGGCTCTGAGTTCTTGGCTACCAGTATGAAGAAAGTAACACCACTATTCCCAGCATCCATCAGATGAAAACAAACCATTTGTTCAGGAAAAACAAAGCTATTCCTAGAACTAAGATTAGAATTAAATTTCTCCTGTGGGTCCTCTCTTTTGGATCCTATAAAGGAGTGAACATTTTCACTAGCCTCACTATTATAAACACAGGGGCAAACTTAATAGAGTTGCCAATCTTATGATGTTTGTTATTATCAGCAATAAGAGCTAAAGGTGATACTGACCAGGATTATTATTGGTTTCATAGGCGAAGTAATGAAATCACAGCAATTATTTGGCTTTAGTAGGAGAGATGGGAAGAAAATTAAGGGGTCTACAGCACATTAGGTTGCTGCTGCTTGAAATTCACTTAATCTTCTGAGTCAGATGCAACCAACTGTGCGCCAGGGATTAAATGTCACCAGTGTTTGTCTTCAGATAATATCTGAGCTTTATAGCCTATTCAGTATGCAATGAATGAACGGTATGAATTCAATGAATGAATGACACAGAATGTTCACCTAAATATTTTCACTGCAACTCAAAGTAAATGTGAATCACTTACCACTACACACCTATTAGAGTGGATAAAATTAGAAAGACTGACCATACCAAGTGTTAGCAAGATTGTGGAGCAACTAAAACTCTCATACACTGCGGGTGAGAATGTAAAATGGTGCAACCACTTCAGAAAGTAGTTTGACATTTTCTTAAAAAGTTATATCAACACATACACCTACTGTATGATCTAGCCATTCTACTCCTAAGTATTTTACCCAAGAGAAAAGGGAAACTATGTCCATACAAGACTCGTACACAAATAGCAGCAGCTTTATCTGTAATAGCCGAAAACTGGGAGCAATGCAAATGTCAAATCAACAGCTGAATGGATAAACGAATTGCGGTAGAGCCACAATAGAGTCCTACTTAACAGTAAGAAGAAATGAACTCTTGATACGTGCAACATCGGTGGTTAAGTGGTTCTTATGTGGAAGGCACTTTACACTGTTTCATTTTAGCCTCACAGGCACCCTATAAGGTAAATACCATTCTGCTTTTAGAGTTGAGAAAACCGAAGCTTAGAGGTGAGCAACTCATCTGGGTTCACTCAGCTGGTGAGTGGCAGAGGCAGGACACAGACCAAGCCAGTCTGATGGAGAGTCCTCACACACACTTTGTTCAACAGGGAATGCTCTGGGTTCCTTAGACCCACCAGCCTCTTCAAGGTGAGGCAGTACCATCCAGGAGATGACCTCCAAAAATAAGAAGGGGTTCCGAGTTGGTGGGGAGAGGGTAAATTTAAAGGAGGAGGAAACTTTTTCCTTTTTCAGATAATGCCCAGATGACTCACCCTTTCTTGTCACTCTGCTCCAAATCCTCAGGTCTTAATCTTGATATGTCAGATTTGGGGACCCACTGGAATGCTCTCCAGGGAGGCTGCCCTTCTGTCTCAAGGCACAGGGCTGTACCACCAGCAGCTCCACCTGGGCACCTATACCAAAGCAAGCAGCAATTTGGTATTCTGTTACTGTTTACTTCTGCCTTAATTGCAAGGTGGGGGAAAGAGTGCCTAAGGTTTGCCAAAAACTGGGTGATTTTTTTTTTTTTTTAAGTTCCTTCCTTTCTTTCTAGTTGTTCAAGTCTGTTGGGAAAGGCAAGAGGAACGATTTTGGAACTGAACTTGCTGCTGAGTTGCCAGGGTTTAGAGATCTCTGCAAAGGTCATTGTTTTCTGTAAAGGTCATTGTCTTTTCATGAAAACCCCGGCAAAGCATGCCAATGGAGGAAAGCCACCAGCTTGCCAAACGTCCGGTGTCCCAGTCACCTGCTCTTCCTGCCCTAGGAAGGATGTGGACGATCTCTGGAGTAAAGACATCAGATCGGTTTTGTTCCTTTCTTGCTCTTAACTCAGCTGCAAAATGCATGAACAAAGCACACACAGGACTATTCTCAGAGCCCTGTGCCGCCTCCTCGTTAAACGCCAGCAGCTGCTGGGTGTTGCACAGAGCAAGATAAGCAACATGACATTCGCGGCCATTTACATCCTGAGTGTAGATCACTGTGCTCTCAGCGGAATTTCTGAGGTTTCAAGCCCTGAAGAATACCCCACCAGTGAAAATGCGCAGAGGGGGTGAGGTCTGGGCAGGGGGTCCTGGGTGGGGTGAGGGGCTCGCAGCAGGAGTGGCCAGCAGAATCAAGCAACCAAATCACGAGTTACTTGCTCTTGGGAAAAGCAGCTCTGCTGACAAGAGAATTAGGGCAGGATGATTTTGGCAAGCCGCGTGTTGTGTTAGCTGCACAAACTTTTTCTTTCCTCTTAGGCAGCCTCTTAATAATTGGGTGGGAGCTTCTTTTCACATTTCGTGAAGAGGCAATTCCTGTCAGATGTTTTTCAGAGGGGTTTCACCTCACGTTTGCCAAGCACACACAATTCCAGATGCAACTCTGAGTCTATTCAGTTTGAGAAGATTAGAGTTCGCAGCCATTGGCAGGATTTTTACTTTCCTGCTGGCCTCATAGTTCCTCATATTACTTTAAGTGAACCTTACTCTTATCTCTACATCAAGTCTTAATGAAAAATATGAGGGAGAGGAAAGGACCCAGAGAGTCACTGGGGCAACTGGCATCTCACTGGAAGCTGCCAAACTATGTGAGTCCTAATTGGAGACATTTCCCTTCTCCCAGTAGGTGCCTCTAATTTACCTCTTTACGGGCAGATATTAATTTTCATTCCTATGTGAGGCTTGTGGGAGGAAATTATTTCAATTACTTCCCTTCCATCTTCCTGCCTGTTCCAATAACCTCTATGTCTCATTATTGCAACTGCAATAATCCAGGCAAGAGATAATGGTGCTGGGCCAAGGTGGTAACAGTGGAGGTGGCAGGAGGAGAGTTTCTGGATATGAGTAGAGAGAGTTGCAAGATGGGGTTGGCTGAATGCTCTTGGTCTTGAAACTTCTGGTAAGGGAGTGGTCGCAGTAGTAAGCTCAGAGAGGCAGAAATGCATCTTAAATTCTGGCCCTTAGGCAAGGAGCAAAGGTCCCATTTATTGAGTACCTGCTGTGTGCCAGGTGCGAAACTTCCTCCTCACAAGTCTTTGTAGTAGGTTTGACTATTTCCACCTCACAGAACCTGTGTCTGTCGGACCCTAGAGGCTGTCACCCTGAGCCCCTTACGAGGGACAGCCCCTGGGGGTATGGGATGCACAGCAGAGTGGCTCGGGGAGGATCCATGAGCACCAGAGTGAGGGGGCCCCGACACCCTCCCTTCGGCCGCAGCTTCTCAGCAGAGCTCCAGGGTGGAGCTGCAAGACCTGGGTCTGACCCCGCACTAAGCTTCCTCAACGGGATGCAGGATGCAACTGCTGCAGCTGCAGCTGCCAGAGGCAGGAAAGCCAAGCAGGGAAAGGCAGGAGATCCCGCTGACCCTTCCAAACCCCGGACCCAGCTTTCCGGTGCTGACAGGGAGGGCACCACCCAGGCACTGCCGGCAACCCCCGTAGGCAAAGCCCCTGAATTCACGTTTTGGTCTCCACAGCCGGAAACCTTCAGCTAGCCATCCTGGAGGAGTTCCGAGGTCTCTGTCTCCAGGCTGGCCAGGACTGCTGGAGGAAATGGGCCCCTTCAACCCCAGCGCACCTGCACTGGGCGTAGTCTATTTCTCCTCTGGCTACCAGAGCAACGGAAACAACAGTGGCCGCCGAAACCCCCTTAACACCACAGCCCAGGCTGACCCTGACCAATGGAAGCCAGACTTTGCATCTTGGTTTCTCCCCTTTTTTTCCCACATACCTAAAAGTATCTTCTCTGAAACCAAGAACTTACCCAATCCTCATACTGAACTGAAACTGTTCTGAAAGCCTGATCCGCTGAGCTCTTCCTGGCATGCCTGGGTTTCACTGATTCCCAGACTCCAGGGAGAGGGTGGGAAGCCTGCTTTCAGGCTTGCAGCAGAATATCCATCTGGGGGAGCGTGCCCTGGAGGCTCCTCTTTGGAACCGCTGTGCAAGCTGCTTTACTCCAAACCCAGGTGAAGTGTGCAGCTTCCCAAGGTGTGGCCACAGCAACTGACCCCAGAGTTTGTACCCCAACACATGTGGGTCTGACTACTGCCCTAACAAATCCCATCCCATGAGAGGGCACTTTCACAGAAAATGCCTCCTCACAAGTAAGTCCAGCCCTTCTTGAGAGCACTAGTGTCCTCATTCCACATAAGAAAGGACCCACTTTGAGAGGACAAATGATATATAATAATTTATGACACCAACTGACTTCTGTGAAAGTGACTGGGAAATGACAACTTGTCCTGCCTGTTAATTCACAAATGGACATGACGAGCCCAAGACACACTTGCACTGAAGCAGAGTGTACGGCCCCAGCCTTGAAACCTGTGTGTAAGGGGCGTGACGGGCTCACGTGTCCTCTCTCAGGCTGCAGCAAGAGGATGGAGACAGGACGCCAGGGTCCTTCCCCCCTGTTCTGTTAGCATCCACCACAAGAATTACCCTGGACAGGGAGGCGGAAAAGCACTGCTGTGCTATTTCTTTAGTTCTCTCTGAAATCCCGCAAGTTAGACAGAGCACTTCCCACACGTTACAAATAAGAAAATCCAAATTCAGAGAGGTCAAGTGACTTGTCTGAGCTCATACAGCAGGCACATAGCAGAACCAGGACTTGAATCCAGATTTCCTATTCCACATTATTCTCCAGTGGCTTATTGAAAGGCTTACATAAAGGGCTCTGTTCCTTGGTTATTCCATGCAATAAACCAGGGCATATACACCAAGCCTTATCTTTTCAATTCTATTTTTAGCTCTCATTATAATGTACTCTGCACTTTAATAGGTACTTGAATGGGTGACAAAATGAGAGATTTTTACAGAAGATCAACTTTCAGTTTCTAGTCTGCTCACAAATGTTTTCAGAGAGCAGCTCCCATACACAAAACACTTTGGATACTACAATACTATATGATACATACTTCCTCTACTCATCAAACTTGCAATGGGGCTGGGAAGATAAGACATGGACCCAAATAACCACCATACCAAAGCAGATACAATCTGTGTGTGCCCCAAGAATGGTGCCCTGCAGAGTATTGGGAGGTCCAAGGGCGTGAGACATAACTTCTGTTTGACATAATCAAGGAAGGCTTCCTGGAGGGGGTGACTTTGAAGCTGAGCTTTAACTGTCACATGGGATTTTAGTAGACAGAAGGTGATGATTTTAGCTTTTAAAAAATCTGATTGGACCTTGTATTTAAATTTTTATGCCCCCCAAATTTGCTCTAAGTAAAATAAGAATATTTCCCATATGATTCTGCAACATGTCCTTTGACAAGGAGCATCTCCCAGAAGAGAAAAAGGGCAGTGTCCAGAGAAATGAAACCCAGCAGCTCAATTCATCTGACTCTATCTATCCTAAGTCCATGCAGAAATGGGTGGCAGGTCTCCCGGTACACTGTGCCACCCTCTCTTCCCTCACTGTGGTTCCTGCCCACCTGCAGCAGCCAACAACAAGCTTGGCACTGTTGTGGCAGGGAAGGGCAGGGGGGGTTGTCCTTTGTTCATCCCTATTTCTCATTCTCCGTTCAGAAATCAGCAGGACACTTATTTCCCAAGATAGAGGAAGACAGGTCTTGTGCAAACAGGTGGTTCCAGGAACACTTCCCGCAAGAACAGGGTTTTTCTTCTACTATAGCCTTGAAACTCTGACCCTTTTTTTTTCATTGCTCTCCTGTATCTTCCTTTAATAGAGCAGATGACCAATGAATCCACAAAAGCAGTGTGCTACACTGCGGGAAATCTCAGGTTACTAACCAAGCATAGGATGTGTCTGGCTTGTACTTAGTTCTCCCTGCTAGAAGAGCACTTCTCCCTCTCTCCATTCAACCTAGTTATCTCCTACCCCGCCCTTGAAACCCCATTCAAAGGGCACCCCTTCAGGGAAACCATTTCCCCTCCACACATCTATATCGAGGCCAGGCTTCCCTGTTACATATTCTCATTCTAGCTCTACTTCCTAGTTTGTGGTTACTTTAGTGGGTATCTCCTATAGCAGATCTTAACCTCCATGAAGGCAGGTATCACCTAGGATTATCGTCATGTCTCACACATAGAAGGTGCTCTGTAAATAATTGTGGACCAAATGTCCTGATGTAGTGATAAATAGAGTCAGACAGCCCTTCGCTGGAATGCTAGTCCAACACTTACTATTTCAACAATTAATTATACTCCCCATATCTCAGCTTCGCCTTCTGCAAAATGAGGCTAACAACGTCTATTTCACAAGATTACGATGAGAAAAATATAGATAAGAGCATCTACCTGGCACCTGTGAATGCTCACTCAGTAATATTCATTTCTTCACCTGCCTTGTCACCTAACCGGCTCACCAGGGTGCCTTTGACCTTGACCCTCAAGCCACACAAACCTTCCTTCACAAACTCCAAAGTTCACCCTAGAATTCAGATTAAAAATGCTCTCTGGGGCTAT